TGCCGAGACCACACTAGGTAGCCAGTATTACTCATAGAACCGGTTCCTCAAGTAGTGACCAAACACTTTTGGATGTAGGCAGGGTTATTTCAATAAAAACATCGGGCTGTTCCTCTGTCACCATTCGAGTCCCATTCCCTCTGCGTTGAGACAAAGTGTAACCCGTCAGTAGCCCGTTCCTTTACAAATGTAAGTTCACGCTCTATTACATTACAATATTGAAAAAGTTAAGTTGCATACTTCATGAAAAATAACATTTTTGATTGATTAGCGAGTGGAAAACCACCTCTGCGAAGGTAGTCATCTTTTCGCAGCGGAGGGGTCTACCATCTCGCAATCTCTTCAGCTGCCACCTTAGCAGATATCCTGCCTGTGTGTATTGGTAGAGCATATGAGCGGTGCCCAAGAGTTGCCATCCTTTAAACCAGGGTTTTTTGCGAACCTTAGCCATTAGATGATTTGAATGTAGGAGATTAATTCATCTGCATTAGAACAGAGCCTTCTCAATACCAGGTCGTCTTGGGAAGTAACTACAAGTATTTTCTTAACTCATGGAAACAATTGGTCAAGATTTATGCGTGGTTTTAGAGAAAAGAACAGTAAAAGGTTATGGCACACGAATCCAGGCACAGGTGGATTTGAAAAGCGTTCATTTGAGGAATATTTACGTAGGCGGAGATATCTCTCTTTGCGGAGCACGCCAGGGAAGGAGAACATCACTTGATAAGAAGCAGAACGGTGGCCTCGGAACCACTGCAAATGGTTTCCCTGGAAAATTCGTCAACCCGATGCAAACCTGAGCGTTTGTTACTCTGATGCCCTCAAAAGAATCAGGATGGCAGTACTGCGCAAGAACCACTCTGCTGAGGTCATGGGGGCTGATGAACTAACCTTACAGCAGTCGCACAGAAATTTATGGGAAATAGCGGTCCGAACCGTTGCCACAGAAATTCATATTGGGTTTGAAAACAATATAGTTAAAATCTATCTTTCTGAAAACATTATAATTAAAATCGTATATCCAGAGATCATGCCCATTTTTTCATTATTACATTATTAATCTGTTCAACTTATTTAGTATGGTGTATTTCTTTTTGCACTTCATTTTATTAATTTTTACATTATTTAATAAACTTTATTACTCTGGTATATTTCCTTTTACACTTCATCCTATTAATTTTTACATTATTTACTAAATCATTATTCAACTTCATTACTCTGGTGTATTACTTTTATACCCAATTACCGACCCCCGCCATAACATTTTCATTTGTTATGCTCCTTTATATCCCCTCTTATTCCCCTTATATCCCCTCTTGGAATTCTAAATCACCTACCGTGCAATCCATATCTTCATTCTCCACCTGAGAATCCAAGGACCTACTGTGCCATCCTTATCTTTATTTCCCACTTGGGAATCAGACGCAATTTCTCTTGAGTCGTCCAAATCTTCATCTACTTCTTTACTTATTTGTCTATTTGGCAATGGCAATCTTAAAAGATCATGCGTATACTCAAAGGTTCTTTTGCTTGTTAATGATTTTAAAACGTATCTATCTCCATCTAGTAGTTTCGATTATTTCAAACGGACCTTTAAATTTTGGGTCAAGCTTTGTTTTGTGATCTTCGTTTTTTAGCAACATATGGTCTCCTACGTAATATTTAATTATTTTTACCTTATTCTTATCAACCCTACGTTTGTCGTAACAAACATTAGCTTCCTTGCTTTCCTTAGCTTGTTTTTTTTAAGATTTCGTATCAATTAAATTATCCTCTTCTTTATCTATTCATAATAGGCCGAAAGGTCTAGCTTCTCTACCGATTACATTTCTAATGGGCCGGCCTTGGTGATTTGATTGGCCGTGCAATTCATTGCCAACTGTACTTCGATTAAGGCATCTTGCCACGACCTCTGAATGTTTTCGACGGCGGTCAAAATACTCTTAAGCGTGCTCATTATACTCTACTTCTTCAGGATCACGTTGTTGTTCATTACTACAATCTTTAATCAGCGGATTCGTTGATAAAAAGTTTGTATGTGTCATTCGTTCTCCTTTTGTATATTAGATATCAAAATCAAACGGCTGGAAAAAGGCCCACCATCCATGCAACCTCGGTGATAGGTCCGATTTTGTACGACTAGCTCCTAGTGAAAAGCAATCAGTAAATACTAAAAATTTACGCACCTGTAAATTTAATGGTATTGACGACTACCAAAGTCTCAAGTTCGTACGAGTGGTATTTCGATTCAAGTGACGTGCATTTACTAAAATACTCAACAACATGGCGCTTGTTGTTCATTGTATGTAGCAATATTGCCCCATAGCCAATTGAGCTTGCATCTGTTATGCATATGGTTAGCACCGGCTCCTGAGTTAAAAAATATATTATTTTCGAGTGAATTCTTTCATGCTCTAACATCCAAACAAAATCGGAGTTTTCCTTTGAGGTGAGCGAATACAATGATTTTTAAGTCTCGTTTTTCGAGGTGGCAATTCTGTCAACGCTTGAATTTTGCGTGGATTAAAGCGAATTTGTCCATTGCTCACTTCAAATCCCAGATTTTCAATCCTCGTTTTAAGAAAGTTACATTAATTGAAAATCCAGCCTTGCTGAAGGTTTCTAGCACAATCTGCAATCGGTCTAAAGCGTTTCGACTACAATCAAAACATCATCGATGTACACGATGGCGTAAGTGTATGCAAGATTACCCAATGCTTTAATTAAAGCGCGAAAGTGAAGTGTTTTTTTAAACCAAAAAGCAAAATTTGGTAGAACCCGCTAGCCATATTAAGACATGAGAAATAGCTTGCAGACGATCACTACCGTTTATCTTTTTAACGATCATCTTTGGACTAGCCAACAGCTGGGACGAATAATATTAGATTTCAGGTGGTCATCGATTTTACATATCATATCATACATGTTCTTTCTCATCTTCGCTAAGTCTATATGGCCGGCGCTGCACTGTCTTTTGTGTTGCAGAATGTTTTTAAGGTCGTCTTATTGGAGTTACTAAGATCGCCATCGGAATCTACAAGCTTTACATAATTAGCAAAAGTTTCGACATCAACTCTTTTTGTTTTGTAAATACTGACTTTTTCAGCGTCTATTGTTACACTAAAGCCCGGGCTTAGTATATCGCGGCCAATCAAAACATCGTATTTCAGGTATTTGTCCATTACAACGTGTAAAAAAGTGTAGGCAATACTGCTCAATATTTATAATAGACATAATTTGCAATGTACTATAGATGGAATTGTTACATATGTCATTTAGTATTACAATAATGTTAACAGTTACTATCAATGCCAGTAAGTTCTGTATCTCTGGCTGGCTGAAATGGAGTTGTTCACAAACATTTGGCTTTACTCTCTCTTTAGACCCGTAGTACACTCATATGCGTGAATTTATGATTCTCTATCTGTATCCTAATATCAGCCTCTGCTACCAGCCTCTGCTACCAGGCTTTTCATTCAATTGCTTTTCCCAGGAATTATCGAAACTATAGACGCCACAGAAATGAATCTGAAATTCCTGTGAAACTGCGACATATTAATTTCGGCGAAATATGTTATTAAATCTTGAACATTTTCGCGCGATTATTTTTTACAACTTACGACGTGGATTAACTCAGCAACTTGCATCGATGAACTTAATTAAATTTTTGGCGTGCCCAAACTGATATTGTAAGATCGTCATGTGACCTATCGCGAGATTAAAACAACTATAGGCATTAGTGGGACCAGCATTCATTCCATATTGCATGAATATTTGACTGTAAAAAAAATTTGTTCACATTGGATCCCACACAATTTCTCCATCGTTAAAAAAGGCTCGTGACAATTGGTCAAGAGAAGTGTTAAAAAAAATACGATAACGGTGCTTTGAAACACCACTATCTATCATCGTGACAGGTGATGAATCGTAGATTTATGCGTATGAGCCCGAAAGTAAACAGCAGACAACTGTATGGGTATTCCCAGGTGAGCCGAATCGAACAAAAGGTGTGTAGCGCACGAAGTACTTCTAAGTAAATGGGTGCCTGTTTTTTTTTTTGGAAAAACTGAAGATGTCACAACCCTACCACTAGAACAACGCAGAACAGTTAATTAACAGCAGTTAATCAACAACATTAACAGCTCTAACACATCGACTGAAACAACTGCTGTTTTGAACACTCAGAACATTGATTTGATGATTCATCCCCCGTAGTTTACTAGTACGCTATGGCAACACTACCTAAAGGAACTAGGAGTACGCCAGCAATTCACCGCACCTTACACCCCTTAAGAGAATCCCCACGGAACGAGTCAACCGGACAACTAAACGGATTATAGCACAACTCAGGTAAATCCCGACATCAGAGATGGGACGATTTTCTCCCAGAGATCGAGCTCGCAGTGAATACCAGCACCTCGGCCTCCACGGGGTATAGCCCGGCATTCCTCGTACAAGGACTAGAGCTGCGACTGCCAAAGCCACTCTTCGATGAAGTTTATATCGGCACAGGCATGACACTCATGACGGCTGAGGAAAAGTCCAATAGGATGCAGGAGGCCTTCAAAATTGTTCGGCAAAATATGGCACCGAATGACTTATTTTTATTATTTGTTTTTGTTCTCTAATCCCGAAGTATAAAAGGCATCCGTCGTATAGCAGTAATCGAGAATATATTTTGCTTATTCATCGTTGGTTATATTATATTAACAAAAAGTATACTGAAATTTAAATAATTCCTATAAAATATATTTTTTTCTAAAAAAAAACTTCATTTGTGCCACATATTCACATCATTAAGAATACTTTTTTTTTTATAATTTTAGTAGCTAGAAATAAATGCAACTAAAGATAAAAAAATAGGAAAACTAGCAGAAATTAGCAAAGCAAAAACAAAAATTAAATATCTGTCAATATCTATTTCTTCACATATGTATATATGTAGATTTGTTATATATAATATTATTATTTTAAATTTTAAATGTATTCATCCATTTCAGAAACGCGATGTCCCAGATTATTTATGTGGTAAAATTAGTTTTGAAATTCTCACCGATCCTGTAATAACTCCATCCGGTATAACATATGAGAGGAAAGATATTGAAGAGCATCTGCAACGTGTAGGTCACTTTGATCCTGTGACTAGAGTTAAATTAACGCAGGACCAACTTATACCGAATTTTTCGATGAAAGAAGTGGTAGATTCATTTATTGCTGAAAACGAATGGGCTTTAGACTTTTAAAATTTATTAAATCTATACATATGTATTACAAAAATTTAATATATTTGTAACATTAAGTAAAAATATGTATAGTAAATATATTAAGCAGGGACCGTAATCATTACAAGTTTTATTTTAAAAATCACGTAATATTGATTATATTTTGATTTTTACGATTTCCTTCACCGATAATGATTAATTTTGATTAATATTACAATAAATGATTATTTACGATTTTTATTTTTATGCTCAAAACAAAGCTCACTTTTAGATCACAGGTTTCTTATGAAGTGTTTGGTTATCCTTTTAGTACAATAATGCATCTTCCTTTTCTCTTTTGTAAATAACACAAAAAATTGGTAAGAAATTATGATTTCGATGAATTGCAGCTACAATCATATTTGCCGACAGAAATTATTTTTAGAATAACTTTAATATATTGAATCCGGTAGCGATTCAATTTGCAATAGTCATGCAAACCAGGACATATGTTTTATTTTTAAAAATCGCTAGAAAAATCATTATTTACGGTCTGTGATATTAAGATACCCAAACACAGATTCATTGACCATCAGAAATTCCTAACTCCAAGAGTAGACATTGTCATCGAAACAACACCTTTTAAAACAAAAACAATTACGTCCCGAATCTTTGAAGTTAATATATTTTTTAGAATGTTTGCTAGTTTTTTCATTATGGAGGTACACTACTTATAGCACAAACAGTCACCAACATTCCTCCCTTCCGTTCTTACCGCCCGTATCAAACCAAATTAACGCTGAAATCAGTTGTTCTCTTTTGTTTACATTTCGCCAATGTTGCCATTGTTCTATTTGTATACACGATTTTTCACACATATAGTTTTTTAGTTATAATTTTTCATAATGTAAAAGCCTAAAACTAAAATCCAACTATTAAAAATAGTTTACTTATTTATAAATAAGTGTATACGACTGTGATTTTGAGTTATTTTAAGAATATTTCAAATATATTCAAGTTTATTTTTTGATTACTACAAAATATCGAGATTGGCAACCTTTCATTGCAAGGGATTGCTCTCTCACTCTCAGCTCACTCGTTTCCACGAAAAAATCCAATATTCGGGGATATCATACCGTACGGTCTGGTGAAGCGGTGGTGGCTGTTCATTTACATTGCGCTCTCATAAGATAGGTCGTATCAGCTGATTCGGTCCACGGTTTTGCGTCGGAGACTGTTTGTGTCATTAAACAAATTGCTACCAAGGATGAAATGATACGAAACTCTTTGATTCGAGAGAGCGGTTTCAAAGTCCACATTTTTTTTTGAAAACATTTGACAGTGGTGCCACTAAGGAAAGAAATAAGTTTTTAGATTTTTTAAGTGTAGTTCTTGGGTATTTTTCAGTTTTCATATGATGCATATATGCGGTTTAAATATATTTACATGTTTATTTTAATCAAAAATGATTTTCAATATTAACTTTTAAGCTCAATTTAAAAATTTTAAAACACAAGTTTTAAATAACCAAACCATGAACATTTCTTATTTGTTTTATACTCAATAAACAAAAATCTTTTGCTAATTTATTCGGAAGTCACAGTTTACATGATATTTGCTGGGAATTCTAACCAAAATATGTATATACGTTGACAATTGGTACTGCTAAGCAAAACAATACTCTGCTACAAAATACCCGCTCTTTCTTAAAAACAAACGTATATTAAATCTCTTTAAATAAAGATTAGAAACACACGTAAAAGTCACTAAAAAATCTGATCTCACAAATAGCCCACTGATTTCGCAATTTATTTCTGCGGGGTTCTTAGTGGTAGTTCGTTGTTTTGCTTGTCATCTGTTCAGTAGCTCATGAACTCTTCGTTTCTTTGGCAGCACTGAAAGCATGTATAATTTATCCTGATGTGACTGAAAGTTCAGGAGCTCTCTCAGAGGGCAAAGAGAGGAGTTTCGGATCATTTTATCCATGATAGTACTTTACACTGAAACGTTATATGCTGCTCTTTAAAATTCTCTCATACGAATTTAGGAATTCTCTCTTAACGTGAAGTGTAATTATACTCTCACAACATGTTGCTACAGAGTATAATAGTTTTGTTCACCTAACGGTTGTTTGTATCACCTAAAACTAATCGAGTTAGATATAGGGTTATGTATATATAAATGATCAGGATGAAGAGACGAGTTGAAATCCGGGTGACTGTCTGTCCGTCCCTCCGTGCAAGCTGTAACTTGAGTAAAAATTGAGATATCTTTATGAAACTTGGTACACATGTTTCTTGGTACAGTAAGACGGTTGGTAGTGCAGATGGGCGTAATCGGACCACTGTCACGCCCACAAAACGCCATTAATCAAAAGCAAATAAATTGTCAACTGAGCTCCGCAATAAGATACAAGACTGTTATTTGGTACACGAGATCACATTAGAGAGGGGCATCTGCAGTTAAATTTTTGGGAAATATGTACTTAATGACCCCCACTCCGTAGGGGGTTGGGGTTGTAAGGGGTGACACAATTAAGTGTCCTTTTTATGAATTCGAAGGAATTACCCGCCGGTCACCCCTTAAAAAGAAGTTATGTAGATTACAAATCCGTGAGCGGAAAGTGAATTTTTTCAATAAATTATGTATATTTTTTAATATTTATTTACACACTTTGCACATATCACATATTCAAGTCACTTAGTTGTTGTTGTTGTTGTAGCGGCAAAATTCTGTAGAATTCAGATCTCTTAGCTGTAATTACCAGTTCAGTGTGTTAAACATTTTCTTATGAAAAAAATATACTGAAGAAATGTAATAGTCAAAATTTCTTTTGTGCCGCGTTTTTATGGAATGAATGAATATCGGAGGTCGTCGAACTCCTTTTCGCACTGGCGGCCTTCGGCCGCGCTTCAAAAAAATAACCCTGGTCGGTCAAAAACCGGGGTGTTCATAATTCAATCGCGTCAAACTCCTTTCTGCACTGGCGGCCTTCGGCCGCGCTTCAAAAAATAACCTGGTCGGTCCAAAACCGGGGTGTTCATAATTCAATTGCGTCAAACTCCTTTCTGCACAAACAGCAGCGAAAAGGATTTTGACGCGATTGAATTATGAACACCCCGGTTTTGAACCGACCTACGGTGTGAAAATGGGTGAAATCGGGTGACAACCCCGCCCACTCCCCATGTAACGGTACTGTTAAAAACTACTAAAAGCGCGATAAATCAAGCACTAAACACGCCAGAGACATTAAATTTTATTTCAGAGATGGTATGAGATGACTTTATAGGAGCCGCGTTCAAAATTAGACAGTGGGCGTGACACCGCCCACTTTTAGGTGAAAACCCATATCTTGGGATCTTTTAATCGATTTCAATCAAATTTGGTACATAACATTCTTTTATATTTCTATGTTATGGTGCGAAAATGGGCAAAATCGGATTACAACCACGCCTATTTTCCATATGACACCATTTTAAATTCCACTTGATTCTTTCACTTTCCACTTTGCAAATCAAGCAATAATGATTATATCGGCGTAAAACTTTGCGTGAATAATACGTTTAAAGTATGCCACCTTGTGACCAAATATTCTCTAGGTAGGTAGGATAGGTAAAGTGGCTGTCATTCGACACACTTAGGCCTTTAGGAGGCCCATTGTGATACCACTGGGACTGTGATCCCTCACTCTTTGGCTCCTATCTGAACCACCCGTACTTCGATGAACTTCATCAGTGAGACAAGTTTTATCTGTGCAACCTCCGAGACGTCGTCAAGAAACCCACGACCGATGGTTGCGATTCTTTTTCCACAACAGCCGGTTCTGCGATACCGGAATTGACCCGGATTTTATCCGGCCAAGGGCTGTTATTTCGGCGATCTAACCCTGTTTGGATCGGTAAGTTTTAGATTAAGTTTGTCGTCATTGGAACAACGCCTAGCAGCAGGGTTGCTCCGTATCCTCCTGACCCGTGCTGACATCGAGTCCAACCCGGGCCCCGAGGAATTCTACTACTGCCCTACCCTAGAATGTCAGGGTATAGCTGTCCGGTCAGGCGATGTCGAGCTCGAAATATTTAATATATACATCCCCCTAGTTACATGTTGCCCAACAGGATATCATCCGAATATAGATGCGCTACTTCGTGGTGAAAACCGTTTGGTGCTAGGCGACTTTCACGCGCATCACGATTTTTGGCATTCCTGCCTGTCAAACGATCGTAGGGGGATGGAGCTGGCAAAACAGATAGACATTCTGCACAATGAATGACGAAGCCCCCACCAGAATTATAAGCACCTGCAATAGCTCGCCAGATATTACCATCGCTAGCGGTGGTCTGATAAATAGTATAACCTAGCGACCTATGCTAACTCTCGCATCAGACCATCTGCCTATAATTATCTCGATCGAGAAACCTCCTGACTTTATTTCTGTGGACAACCGCACTTATGTTAACTTTAACAAAGCTAACTGGGTCGGCTTCACAGAATTTACCGAGAGCACCTTCAACGCACTACCCATTCCTACGGACGTCACCGTTGGCGAGCGTCAATTCCGCAAGGTGTTCGCTGCTGCTACTGCTCGCTTCATACCGGCTGGAAGAATTGCGGAACTCCGCCCAAATCTCCCAGCCGAAGCAGCAGTATTAGCAAACGAGCGCGACACCTTACGCCATGCCGATCCCTGTGATCCCCGAATAAGGGTTCAATTTGGAGTTCGGCAAATGGTAAATCATCATAAGCGGACAAAATGGATAGAGCACCTGAAGTCCTGCAACCTCTCCACCGTGTGGAGTAAGCTTTGGACTACTGTCAAGGCCCTGTCAAATCCGAGGAGCATGACGATCGGGTTGAAATTCAATTCGATGGCATGCCTCCTCGCACCCGAAGAAGTGCGCGAGCTACTTTAGCCGGCAGTTTATACTGCACCCTTCGACCGACAAGGCCAAACGATATGTTACCCGACGGCTGCGCAAAAGGCCAAAAGACTGCGCACCACTTACTTTCACCGATGGGGAGGTTCAGAGTGTCATCAAAAAGGCGAAATCGTCTAAGTCTATCGGCCCTGATGGAATAAGCATGCTGATGTTAACACACCTAGGCCCAACGGGAGTAAACTACCTCACCAAGGTCCTCAACCTGTCGATATCCACTCTTCAAATACCCGATGTGTGGAAAGTCGGAAGAGTGGTCCCACTGCTGAAACCTGGGAAACCCGCCAACAAAGGGGAGTCTTATCGCCCGATAACTCCTTTCCCAGTAGTGAAGACACTTGA